GCTGTTTACTTTTTGCAAATTACTCGTGTTTGCCCGGCAAATATATCCATTTCACTAATTTTTCAGACATGAGGTCATAGCTTTCAATTTCTCCCTAAATACATTCATAAAGCTACACTGTTTTTGAGACATGAGCAGAACGCGGTACCCCAGGTGAGCATCGAACCTGCGTTTGCTCTTTCCGGAATGTACACGTGTCAATCTCCATAACGAGGCTCTTGCTTTGCCTTTCTCCCAGCCACTCTTCTTTTACTCTAACGGTACTATTAGCAGTTATACATTTAAAAAAATCATAATTTTTGTGCCACATACACCTGAAGGGTAATCGCCGTACCCCGGGTAACGATTTTTGCTCATATCTATACATCGTTATGGTTTTCACACAATGGTTTTTCATAACAGAATTATGGGTAGTAAATAAAAGTTGGCCCATGAGGCCCCCACTGCGATTCACACACAGAATCGATTACCGAGTCCATGGCCCACCAAGTCTTCCATCCCTCCGGGTCGGCAAATTGGTACCAGACTTGTCTGGGAGGATAGTAACACTGGCTCAATACATCGGTAGGCCACCGTTAGCCATTGTAAAGGCTAAATATCATTTAATCACCTCCAATGATACTTAATGAAGTTGAATGCACAGCGCATCCCTCAGGTATTGATCAACGCCGGGAGTTTTATCCTTTATTCTTTTAAATAAAAGTTAAACACTACGTTCATAAAATTTAATTCACTTTATAAACCATTTTCTTATTCTGAGCGAATTCCAGTAGCTGCAAAAATGTGCCTTTCAATAAAAAAAAATATTTCTATGATGTTGGGTTTAACTCTAAGTGATGTTGCCCGTACACTACGTTTTCAGATCTGAGAAACGAGAGTGTATTTTTTCAAAGGAGAGTTTCATTTATCCTCAGCATGGTCGATCGACATTTTCTCGAACTACTGAGCTCATATGAAGCTGTTATAAAAAGTTTATTGTGCCCAATTTTTAGACCATATTTCGTAATATCGATTCTTATAATGCCGACTGCTACAGGGTGGATTCTTTTCATGAAAACAGTTCACTATCCACCGCAGTGATGCTGAGACATTTGCAGAACTTGGACCACACTCCAGTTTCAAACCAACTGTGTCCATTTCCGAGGGCTCATGTGTTACCCACTGCACCACTGAGGCTTTCGTTCTGTCCTTATCTCAGCAAGCTTTTTACCCTAGTGTTGCTATCACAATCGCCTTCAGCGGAACAGACCTGAAAACCACAAACGCTATTGAATCCATTTAAGTGTAGGTGTAGTCGAAATCACAGTGTACAACTTTTTATCTACTGCCTGTTACTTTCTCTACTGTAGGATGCTATGTGGAGTACAACTACAATGATGCTGGAATATTTATTTTGTTATTAGTAGGAGATCGTTTGAGAGCCATCATATAAAAGAGGGCACCGCCGAATGAGTCTTCATTCGAGTTGTGCTCTTGTGTTATGGACTGGACTCGAGAAGTCTAAAGCCGTGAACTACTGAAAAGAAAACATCTTATGAAGATGAAGAAAAGATGTGAAATCTCAAATATGCTCCTGCTCCACCGACGACCTTCGCCTTTTATTTTACGTCCAATTTAGGTACTTGCACTGGCTAGCCTTTTCGGTCCCCCCATTTCTTGGTGCCCTGTCCATTTTTATCCTTTGAGGTGATATTTCACGATGTTCAGTTCGACAAGCAAGGGTGGGTGGAAAGCATCATAGTGAAGTGAACTCCGCATACGCAAAGGGAACTGGGTTACAAAAAGCACAGGACAGAAGAAATTCTTTAACGCTAAGAGACCGACTTGTACATCCACTCATTTCTTTATCGCCTTTCATATTTCCGTAAAAAGGTTTCCTTTGTTGAACTTTTTTATGATCAACCAATACCTTATCAAAAGCAGATCATTTAACTAGATATCGGAACTAGAAACTTGTTTTGTGTATTTAGAAGTTTACATAAAACTTTGTTTGGGTGAGATTATTTGACGGGCGAGACGATTGCTGATGAAAAGAGAAGCCGTCGGAAAGGCTGTTCGCGTTCAGGAGATGACAGAGATGTCTCTGCTACACTTCAACACTATTCCCTCGTGCCCGTAAATAATAACGTTGTTTTCGTTTACCTTTTGTTTAGAAGTTTACAAAAAACTTTGTTTGGGTGAGATTAAACCTCTAATGTTATTTTCGCTTACCTTTTGTCCTTTCCTCTCATTGTACGATCAACTCACTGGTGTTTTTTCTTAAAACGTAGTTTGCTGAGCCTTGTAGACAGCATGTTCTTCGGATATCTGAATTGCAAAGCCAGCTTTGTGTTAATTACACTGATCCATCATAAAAGAACTGCATGGGTGCTTTGTGTGCTGTACACAGCTGCCTCGATGCAATTGAAATATCGTACCTCGTTTCTGCTGCAGAGCGCAGAGCCGAAAGAATCGCGTCGTCGAATCAGTGAACACGTAGGTCTGGAGCTGGTGATCAGCTCATCGCAAAGCTGTTCAGTGGCCTTAGAAGCCCTAGTGTGAACCAAGCACGTTGAAGAACCGCTTTCTTCTTCCAAGTTGTTCTCAAGTTGTTATCGATTTTCACAAAGCGTCACAAACATACTGGTCTTCTTAATAGATCATATGTAGCCCAGCCTGTTAAATCACTTGCTAAATCTGGTCTGTATATGTTGTGCTCCGTCCAAGTTCTGTGACATACGTATTAGGATAATCTTTGCAAAAAGCTTGTACAGCACACTTAGAAAGCCGGTCGGGTGGTAATTACAGATGTCATGTCATCCGGTCGATGCGTGAGAGCCTGTACCGACTGGGAATACAATCCATTTGTAGATATAAACGAAAAAGTTAAGTGGGGAATAAGGGAATTGAAAAAATCTAACAACAAGAGAGGGTCAATAAGCAGAGTGGCGAAGAAAGCGTAGATCAATACAGTGTATTGTCTCAGTGGAGTGTGAGTGAAACTTACAATTCGTTTGACAGTTCTTTGCCATCGTCTACACCTATAGTGAACACTTTATGAAATAGTGCACAATTGGAGTATGCAGTACAAACAGCAGGAGGGTATGGCGCAGTAGGTCGAGAATCAATGCAATACACACGAGGGCAGATTAGTATTAAGATGTCTCTGAAAATCTCTGTCTGTTTCACATAAGGCTGTTACTTCCGGTGGCGAAGATGTGTTAGCGCTATAACAGAACTATTTCGTGGGTTTCACGCAGAATTCAATGAAATTGACAAGTAAGACGACGTCTTCAAGGTGTAGTCGAACCCATGCGCAAATCCAACGATTTCGTGGCCGACATATACAGGGCAACGAGCCTAATGATGAGAGCAATTTGAAAGCGACGTAATATGTAATACAGAAATAAGCGTCATCAGCCTGCTGGAAATTGCTTAAATTAAGCGAATGGCAATTTTTACCAGTGAGCATGAAAATTGAAGAAAGGCTAGTTTGAAATAAGAACGTTGATTTTCTAAGGTTAATAGAAACTTTTTTCCTTTCATTGAGTTTGCCCCATGTTCCTTCAGAAATAGCATTCCCAAATATGGATTAAAGTTCGGCAGCACGGACTACCCACTGGTATTTCTTGGATTTTCGGCTTTATTTAAGCATCTGCTAGTAATCAGTGAATTCATCGTGAACATGTGGCACAACAGAATTTGTTGATGATCAGCTACCCTGTAATGCCATGAACCGACTTCCATCTCGGGCTGGTTAACAACTTTGTACTGAAGATCTATTACCTTGCAGTGCACCTGTTGTAAAATCGAAAAGTGTTGCAGCAACAAGAAGCGCGTTGGACTTAAGCTTTTGACTCCTACTGTTTGATGTTATTGAGCAGGATTCTTATTTTGAATCTAAATAGCTTGTCAGTAATCATTGCAACATTAATTCCTGTAACTCAAAAAGTAAATGAGCTCTTTCATCAACTTGTTTCGGCCCTTAGGCCGAAGCTATTATAAACTAATTTATGGACACGTTTCGCTCTTTAATAATAAACTTTAATAAACGAAATAAACAGCACTGGCATCTCTAAGACCAATACAATATGAACATTTTTATACTCATAAGGTCAAATTTTGGTCCTCTGCAATATGTGAAGCATAATTTATTAGTTTTTTCTACTTTAGAGCTCGTATTTCAAAGAGCAATTGAAAAAGAAACGTCGTCCACAAGTACACGCTGGTGCTTCCCAATCTGTCGCCGGCATTTGTTGCTGCCCTCTAGACTGGAATTTTTAAAAATTTAAGTCTGGTTTTCGACTTTTTAAAGGTTTCGGCTCAACGCGAATTTAAAAAAGGGCGAACATCTTTGCGAAACTAGAATATTAGCTTACAATAAAAAAAAAAGCACTTAGGCACAGAATCTCTTCTTCACATGTAACATGTTTCACCAATCGAGCTTTGATTTTCGAGAAGAAGTGGTCGAAAATATGGTATCTGGTGTGTTACGTCGAAATTCTTCAGGAATCGTTCTTAATTCTGCATTATATAAAGACACTCTTGAACAATATCCTTTCTCCGTTTTTGAAGAATGCAGATTTTGACTAGGATTTCAAACGAAAAGATCGATAATCAGATGACAACACTTTCAAACTATGTGGAGATCTTAATAAGATTCTATATACTTATTCTCATTCATGAATACCTTTTCTCATATTGCTCAACTGGATTCTGCATGCTCTTCTCTGTTGAGATGCAGTTTGTTCTGCATCACCCACTATATTGTCAAGAATTTATCCAATTGCAATTCCGCTGTTTTTACAGAACAGCGAATGAACACATCTCATCGTTGTTGTGACATTAATAGGCCCTATCTTTAATACGTGGACAACAATTCCGTCTCTTAAATTGTATCAGCATTCTACAGTTATCTTTTGAAGTTGTTATTGTTGTTTTGGCTAAACATAGCGTATATCATTGCCATCTGTAAAGGCTAAACGTTATGGCATCATTCTCTGAAACATATCGTGATAAGTCTAGCACTGTAGTTTCTTATTTAATGCATGAAGACGAGCTGCGAGCAGCAAAATCGTTGCAGAAATCAGAATAATAGTGATGTTGAACACACCTACGACAACCAGACCAAAGTTGCTCATGCAGAGGGCGTTCTGAAAACGATGTAATTAAAAGATTTATGCACATGTCCTACTGAAATCTGTGCGATAACAGTATCTCAGTAGCTTTAACATTATCGCCTTTATAGTGACTGAAACCCCTTCAGTGTTTCATTCCGGTCCAGGTGTTTATTTTTCTTCGTATTTCCTACAGAATTCTACCACTATCCATTTCTTCATTTGAACGGGAATCGTTCGAATGAACTACAATTTTATACTCTATTGTAATGGGAAAATACTGCGCGAAATCCAAATGTAGTTTTTTGTTCTGAAAGGCTAGGCTTCGTTCTCTCGCTTTAGGGCACTGGATTCACGCTATGTTTTCCTTGTTTGTATTCAGTTTTTTAAATGCTTAATATAAATAACCCAAATATAAAAAAAAACAAATAAATTATATCAGTGGTTTTGTTTGATTTTAGACCTAGCAATAAGACTTCGGAAACGAATAACAATGTCGATGCTTCACAATGATGCTGAGATATTAGCAAAATATCGGATCGCAATTGTTTGCAGTGGGGAAAAACGCGTTATTATCTTTTCCAAAAGCTAACGCGTTCACATAGCACCATGCGGGTCCTTCGTTTCCTCTTCCTGTAAGCAAGTTTTCTACCTACCAGTGCGATCAGTGATCACCGGTCAACGGGATAGAAAACTAGATGAGAGAAAGGCGAAAGGAAAAACTCGCATGGTGTGAAGGTGAACACGTTAGTCCCGGAAAGGGTAACAGAGAGTTCGATCCTCAGTGCAGACATCTGCGGTCCGGTGTTTTGAAAATATCTTAGCATCAACGTGGTTATATTACACTTAATATGGTGCCGTAAAAACCCGCAATCGGCAGCGAATAAAAGTTAGCTATGTCGATGCATTTAGCGTGATGGATTTAGCTGACTAACGGCTAGCGAACATACTATGCAAAAGTAGTACTCAAAAGATAAAAGCCTTTGGAAGCATCTGATTTGTAAACGACAACGATCAACTGAAGTCGACTGAAGTTGGTCAAAGCACACATAGAAAGTTTACAAAAGAAGTAGATGTAAGCGCATTAAAGGCGCCGGAGTACCTCGATCGAACTGAGTACTTTAAAACATCCTACTAAACGAATGGTTGCCGTATGAATTGAAATAACGAGAAGGACATCGGCATTGTTAAAACTGTTTTGGCGCTTTTTTTATGCAATAAATTAATACGTAATGTGATGTTCTAAGACTGATAGGCCTTGACTTGTCGACCGATGTCGTTAAATGCGTTAGTATAAATTTGACGAAATACCGGAATTCTTCTACAAATCAAATGTTGAAATTGTTGTTACTATGCGAAAAACAACCATAAGCATGTTGATTTCATGGATTCGAAGCCAGTTGGGGCTTTCAGTTTTGTTTATGTCACAGTAACCTTGTGGGTACATTACACGTAGTATCTTCTACGAAAAAAAAATTAGAGGCAGTTAAAAAGTTGAGGCATTTTATAACTTCTTTGTGGAAGCACCATGTCTAAATGTATTTATATATACGCATACATATATATATATATATATGTGTGTACGTATGTAAACGTCGACGCCGTCTATGACACCGGTGAAGAACTGTTCATCGGAACATGCGACAGTAGAGGACTCGGCGGCGTCGGCGCTCTCGTCAACACGAGTTTGTCGATGAACGTCGATTCATCCGAAAAACTAACAACTCGAATCGGATTTTTACGATTGAAGAGATGTGGATCAATACCTGCCTTGGCAACCTTATTCGTTTACGCACTGATATCAAGCTATGACGAAGAAAAGGTCGAAAGGTCGAAGGGTTCTATATGGACTTGGGGAACTTCTACAGAGAAGACCATACATTCTTCAAGGTCATCATTGGAGATTTTAACGCTAAAACTGGACCAAGAAGAATGTCTGAAAAACGTCACATTCGGATCAGCAGTCAGCAGATTAGAATGGAACGAGTAGGGTGAGCGACTGTCTGAGTTTATCACGACGAGCAAGACCACTCATGGTAACTCGCAATTTCAAAAGTCTCATCTTCAACACTGCACGTTGGAATCTCTCAGTGGAGAGTACTACAACGGAATAGACCACATTGTTGTAAATCAAAAGTCTTGTCTGACCGATGTCGCCGTTGTGTCAAAATTCTACACGGGATTCGACCAACGCCTCCTTCCTGCAAGATTTTATTTCTGGCGAAAAGGAAAAAACTGCTAAATTAAAAAAAAAAACCTAAGTCCAAAACCAGTGGACTAGGATTTATTCGGATCATCAGTCGGTTGTCAGGAAGATGCCGTTCTTGATAACATCGACGGTGAATACAATCGGCCCATTCAACAACTTCATGTCGGCGCTATGGAAGCTGAGGGTTCGAAAGTCACCAAGAGACTTCTGTCTCGAGAAACACTCGAGTTAATACGCAACCATGGAATCGCACGTGCTGCAGGCAACCGCGAACTCACGTCCAAAATGGCAAAACAATGCAGACAGGCGGTGAAAGAAGATCTTAAAGAGAGAAGAGAAGGATAAATGGCCGAAGCCGCAGAGGCTGGGAAAAGCATTCGGAAACCCCACCGAAACTTCGCCAATACAAGGCCAAGATTGCATTCCGACTCCCAGATGGAACAGTTACAGGGCCCGGAAAGGCAATGGAGGAAAGCATTCACGAATACTACTCAGATCCCTTCGATAGCCACTAAAGTATCTCGAGAATACAAAAGACCGCTTTGTGTCACTTTCACTGATTTAAATGAGGCCCTTCACTCAATTGAGATAGAAGCAGTAATGGAAGCTCTGGACAACTAAGAAGTGTTTACTCAGTATATAAAAATTGCTTGAGAGCTGCACAAAAATTTCACAGCGAAGATATCACCATTCTACAATGGTATTAACGTCGACGTCAAAAGAGGGGTTAGGCAAGCAGATACCATCTCGCCAAAATTATTTTTCGCCACCCTCGAGAACGTCACGCGAAAATTGGAATGGGATTATATGGGAGTGAATATCGATGGTTGGCAATTACAGTATCTTTGCTTTGCTGATGATATCGTTAAGTCTGTGGAAAGATTTATCTTCGGCCAAATATCATAAAAACGATGTTCATGAGAAACGGATTGGTTTCGTATGCCCCGTTCACGCTCATCGGAACCAATATGCCCGAATGCTCCAATTATGTCTATCTAGGTCGGGAAATCAACATTATGAACAATTTAGCTCAGAAGTTACGCAGAAGAAAACAAGCGGCATTGGGAGCTTCCAAGAGCACCGAGGATGCTGTGAACAGTACAAAGAACACACGAATCCGCGCCCACCTTTTCGACTCCACGATACTTCCTGGCTTAATTTATGCATCAGAAACCTAGTCGCTGCTTAAGCAGGATGAAACAACACTCAGTGTTATTCAATGCGCAGTCGAAAAGACGATGCTAGGAGTATCTTGCGTCGCACTAGTAAGGGAAGAAATCTAAAGCACCGACCTGCGTTAATGAGCAAAAGTCGAAGCTGCCGTTATATACGCCAAACTAGCGAAGATGGGGTACGTGGGAAACGTAATGCGTATGAATGACAACCGATGAACAAAAGCCGATAGTCACTTTATTGTTCGGGATATCAAAGGTACAGAAGGAAGACCACCGACCCGATGGTCAGAGTTCTTCACGAAGAGCCTAGAAAAAAAAATATGATGCTCGACGAGTCCCTAGAGCGATCAGAACCCACTGGGCTACTCTTGCACGCGATAGGGAAAAATGGTAGATTTACTGGCGCCCGCTCGAGTCAGTCACTCGACGATCAACGGGACTACAGGTGATACAGGTAACGTACAGGTAGTGTAAGGAGATGTAAGTATATGTGCATATAAGAAAATGCCAAAAAAGTCTTAAACCAAATTCCTGATCCCAGAACTATGAGACACTTGGTTGCGTGGAAGTGGGGCCGAAGCATGGTCTTTCTCATATGACTGAGCAACATCTTTACCACTACGCTAACCGTTGCCTTATGAGAAGCGAAAGGAAGTCGAATCAAATCTTCAGGTGGAAATAGCTATCTGATTCTCGTCCTACTTCTAAAGGTATTCGCAATTCCTTCGACATTATTCTAACAGTGAGTTACAACGAAGGTGCTGCGAATGTGAAACAGACGGGGTTTTACCCGAGTTTACTACAAACTGCCTCATACCATTGTATAAGGAAGCTCAGAAAGAAGAGGAGATGGGTGGCATGGGAATAAAAAGTAGATTGTGAGAAAAAGCAATTTCCATACTTTTCTACCATGGTTTGAAAGGCAAAATCGATCTCGTCGAATAGATGCTGCCCCGAGATAGTAAATCCGAAAAAGATCATCATAAGGACGTCCGTTGTAATCTTCTTCTAAGCGATTAAAAGCGGTACGTTGATAACTCGCTTTGTGGAGGCAGATGAGAAATGGATTCTTATCGATTTGGTTACACAATTTGAACCAATACGAAGCATCAGAGCACATCTCGAAGCCAAAATTTCACTAAAGAAGGTTTTTCTGATTGTTTTTTCATCGCTAACTAGCAGTAAATTTTAGGAAACTGATATTTTACATTAGCAGCGTTATAATTAAGCCCCATGCATTTATGTTGTTGCAAAAGTACTTTTACAGGAAAAGTATCGAGGAAAGGTGATTTATACTGAGATGACGCTTCCGTAGCGAAAGGAGTTTTTTCCTTGTGAAAGCAAAAACTCTAGAATATCATTTTCATAGCCTTAGAATTACAGTTGTCTCTCCAAACAGAGGTATCAATAAGAATTTAACGTTAGTGAAAAAAGCATTTTTTAAGTCATTTTATGCCCTAAAATAAAGAACAATACGTTGCCGAAAATAGCCATTTGTTTTCCCTTTCCGATAACAAATTGTTGGCAACAGCGAGATTTCAGTTTTACCTGTGCAACATTGAAATTCATCTGGATCCAGTTCAGCTTAACAGTATCGTCGCGTGGAATGAAGAAATCGCCCTCTTCTTCGGGAGCTAAGAGTTGAAAAAGGAAAACATTCAAGAATATGGGCATTTACACTAAACGAATTTCAAGAAACATCTTATTAAGGGTATTACTAGCGTTCGATATGAAAGAAGAACGACCATTTGACAACATTAGATTATACCTTTTAGTTCTGCATTCGTGTTGCTGCTTAAGGACGTTTGAGATCGTCGCCGACGTGGCGGATCAGGACACGTTGGAACCTGTTCACTTCTATTTATTTACTCAGTAATTTATTTATCCGATTACGTACTTGTCCGACCTATCTGTAACAGCTCTTGAAAACTTTCATTTTTCATAGCCGTAAATAATTAGTAAACAAGGTCACTAATAGCACCATTTTCCGTATTTCCTGTTCTCGTAAACAACATACTTCTGATTTTTAACGCCTTGGCAGAGCTCCCAACTAAAAGCGTTTCCCGTAAAGCATTTTTGACTCGAGTCCGATACCAGCTATTTCTTACCTCCACTCGTTAAGCGTCGAAAAAGCTGCTCATAGAATTCTAGATACGTTTGCAGATGTCTCGCCCTTGATTACGCAGGGTGCAATAAAATAGAAGTGAGCTTCATATTCGCGACACATCATAGATGCTCTCAGAAACCTCTTTCATTGAGCTTAATTCAGTTTGCTCTTGCAATAAAGCGAGGAAAAAGTGCGAATTGCATTAGGCTTGCAAGTTTCAGTATTTCTACCTTAACTGTTAAGTAATATTGCGTCCACCTAACTACGTAGCCACACAATTACTGGGGGGCCTTCTTTACCAACATACTTGATATGATTCCTTTTTCTGGAAAGTAAACTGTTTCAAATTACCAAATATCTCATAGTAGAAGAATCATTTTGTTTCTCCCGCGCGAAATGCTCAAGGGAAAAATTGGACAGAAGCAACACTAGTTGGCTCAGCAAGCTAACATTGCTACCGAAAGTTGCTAAAATTTACCTCACAGTACTCTGTTCCAGGCTCTTTAATTCGGAGCGTAATTTGACAATCAAAGTACATGTTATCTCGATCTGCATACTTGTAAACGTGAGCTTCTCGTCCAGCCAACAGATCCTCAGGATACTCCAAGTTTGTTAATAAATACTTGTCCATTGCACAGCTGAATAGTGAAAAACTAGTAAAAATTATCAAGGCAATTGAACATTTACAATTTTGTGCTACTTGAAACCATTTTCATCACACAAGTTCATACTAGTCATAGTCTTTCATTACGGGTACTGTCGAGATTTTGGAATGTGGTTCACTACAACCACAACGTTGCTGAGATATTTGCAAAACTCTGGACCGCAGGTGTCTATGGTGGGGAACGAACGCGCTATTATCCTTTCCGGGGAGTAACGCGTTCACCACCACACCATGCGGGTTCTTCGTTTCGCCGGTCTCTCAGCTATTTCTATTGATCTTTTTGCCACATCAATCACTCGTCAGCTATTTCTACCCGTATGGTGTGGTGGTGAACGCGTTACTCCCCGGAAAGGATAATAGCGCGTTCGTTCCCCACCATAGACACCTGCGGTCCAGAGTTTTGCAAATATCTCAGCAACGTTGTGGTTGCATTTCGCTTAGCAACCTGCCATGAAAATTATAGAAGGCAGAAAACAAAACGTTAAACATTGTGGTTTACTACGTTACAAATAAGTTATGCATGGCTAACGGTAGTTTTTGGCGTTAACTTGCCTTTATCTAGGCTACCAAATCTAAACTTCGCACTCTTTCACATCCTCGATGAAATTTCTCGCGAAGGATGAGAACTCGTTTCGAACAGTGTCCTTCGCCGAGTGACAGTCCATAATGAACAGTGAGGAAAGGATGGAGGAGGAAGAGGTCAAATAAATGTTAAATGCGAGAAAATAAAATAAAAAAATACAGGATTGTTTTCTGGAAATACTAAGAAATTTTCGTGCTTAGGACACTCTTACGTTAGTATCATTGGTAAACAGTGGGAAATAGGTGTGAATTATTTTGATACAACCACTCATTCACCCCATTCATAGAAGCTTACCCTCTTGCGTTAAGAAGTTGCACTCGTTCACCGTTTCCATCGTCAACAAAGCATGAATGTACAACCATACAGAACGCATCCTTTTGTTCCGCTTCACATTTCCACTTGTGATAAACCTCAAGATTTGACCTGTTGGATTTTGTCTCCAAGTGACGTCAAATACTTTCGAATTTTCCTAGTTCTTTACATCGAGTGAGATTCGGATAAGTGAAGTTCGCATTGAAGTTTCTTTTTCAGTGTGTCTTAAACCTGATTCTATAACACCTGTTAACGCTCGAAATTAACATCTTTTCGCTATTATTTTATGAAAAATTCACATAATTTTCCTCCTACCATTTGCCCCACACTAGCGTAGTAGACAGGTTTTCCACTGGGTGAACCGTCCAAAACTTCATATGTACAAACTGGCATCGGAACTTGCTTCATATGAAGTGTTGGAGGTGGCATGCTAAACTTCTATGCATTAGAAATATGAATCTTTGCTAGGCGTAAAGAATGAGATTTTACTTCTCACTATATTCTGAACTATTCTTGCTCTATAAGAGTTTTTTTCAGATTTCTTACAAAATATTTAACTAACTTTATGATAATTTCCTTTTCGACACGTCGTTCCATTTCCATGTAGAAACACTGCACTCTATATACTCGATCCACTTTCGTTAGGAAATCGAAATTGAAGGCGACTATGATTGATGTGGACAGAAAAACTCCGCGCGGTGAAGTCTAGAAGCGTTACTCGTTGACTCAAAACGGAAATGGAAACAGTTTTTTGTTCATTACAGGTTTACTGAACATCACCAGCCATTTTCTTTCGCGATTGACGAATAACGTCATCATAGAATATTTTATGTTAAAGCTCTCCGTAACTAGAAATGACAAAAAATGCTGCCATATTATTATTGTTTACTATTTCTTATTTGTCGCTTATTACTTATTATTATCAGCACTACAGTTGTTATTATAGTTGTCGCTTTCACTACAATTACTATCATTTTAAATCCTAACCATCGGGCGTCTTTTCCAATAGAGATAACAAATAGTTGAAAATATTCAACTGCTTTCCGAACGGAATGTTAATATTTGAATTTGTATCCCTCCTCTCACGCTCTTTAAGGGGCGTCCTTCATAGGTGTAATCTTCTCATCTTCATTCCATTTCCATTCTTTTCCTCTCACAATGCACAGCAAAAGATTGATGCTGGACTCATTAACTGAATTTACTGCTGCATTATACTTAGAACAGCGGATATTACATCTTCTACATTGAAATTCTTGTGCGATTTATAAAGTGGGGTCCAACGCTAATCAGTTTTATGATTGAACCGAAATGAAGTTCCTCAACTTTACAGTCTAATCCGTAACAGATAATTTTTGTTTTGGCAGGTGCGATAAGAAGTTCCATATTTTAGCGAAAAGACCAAAACAGAGAAGTGCTGCTCCAAAAGCAATCGTTTTCTTTAAGAAATGCTGCGCATGCATTCAGAATTGGTCGAATGAAAAAGCCTATTCTTTTCCACCGACGATTCACTATCACCCACTCCAATTGAAACTCAGCGAAACTAACCATGAAGCTTTGTGCTGGCCAGCAGAATCGGCTGATCTCGTCCCAACAAAAGAAATTGCTCATTCAATATACTACAACTACTACTAGCTGAGAAAATCGATAACAATCAAATCTCCGATGTTTTAGTCCGGTGTTTCGGAATAGGAGGATCTGTGTCGAGAGTGTATACGGGATTTATGTCCGATGGATTCGGATAGTGAATTAGGATTCGAACGAGTTCGGTGAGGTGAATCTAGGGAACACCTTACATTCCATTTTAGCAGTTTGCTTATCTATGTCCTTCTATCTCTACAACTTGAGGTATTTATAACCAGTTATCGATTGAGATACGTGATCACTGGGTGGTCGTGTTAGAAAAGATCGCGAATGATCTCATTTGAGGACAAAAAAGCTCGCACGAGTTGTTCCACACTGCTGAATTCGCACTATTACTCCATATTCACAGTAATTCTATTTCCTTTCCTTCTTTTCCAATTCGCATTGAATGTATAAACAATTTGTCAGTCAGTATATAATTAAAAAAGCAACAGCATGAGCAGATATGTGCACATATTTATTTACTTAAGGCGCGTGTGGGGCAGTGGTCGGAGGCGCCCTGCACAACAGATGGAGTCGTTTCCCGCTTCCATGGTCCACCAAGCCTTCTATCCCTCCGGTGACAGAAAATTGGTACCAGACTTGTCTGGGAGGATAGCAGCACTGGCTAGACACATCAGTGAGCCACCAAGAGTCATTGTAAAGGCTAGATATGCATTCAATCACTTCCAACTAAGCTTAATGACGTCCAATGCATGACACGTCCCTCAAGGATTAATCAACGCCGAAAGCTTTGTCCTTTACCCTTTTATTTATTTACTTAGTTGCATATTAACAACCTATTAACTGTAGCTGAATTACTTGCATACCGAAAACCATCAAAAGCATCTCTGCTCCCGTCTTGAAGTCAGTTTAAACAACGAATTCAAAACCGGCTGTTTACACTGAGTTCACACGACCCAAATTCGCATGTCTACATTGGAAGTCAAGAACATTTTGAACAATGACAGTTCTTTCAAGGAGAGCTGCATGTAAATGGTATGGACATCACCTGTGGATTCGAAGGAAAATCCTTGATCGCTCTCAAAAAACCATTGATCATTTAAATAATTTTTGCTAAGAAATGTCAAGATGAGGGGAAAAAGAAACCGTTGAAGGAAAACTACAATTAGTCCTGACTATTGATATTTGAGACTAAGTATGGCTTGAAAGCTGGGAGTATTATATAGAAGAAATATGGGCCACCCACATGGACGTTCCAATAAACGCGGCATTTTTAAATAGATGGACTCAATACGAAAAAGACGTAAGATTTTCTATTGTGCACTACAAAATAAATCATATGAAAGTAAACCGCATCATAGAAAGAAATGAGAAACAGATTACACCCCTAATAATTTATTTTCCATATTGATCTCAAAAAATAAAACGGGATTTAAATTTAAACGGTCAGTAAGAAATGAAGGATTATAGCTGTTTGCAGCAACGGAGTATCTGAGGAGCAGTCAAGAAGTGCTGTGCTAACTGAAACAAAGTCCAGCCTCAGTACAGGCTATTCAATTCCGCCTGTCTAATCTTAGTTAAGAAAATCTGTTGCCATTCTGTGTAACAGTAACGATAACAGTGTTCCTTTCTGTTTGTGAGTTACTCCTTACTCCGTCGTCGCTATGTTTACAAACAGTAAATTCAGTTGTGCCGAGTAAAGTTGTCACCACTTTAATTATTGTTCTAGGTAGAAAACGCTTTCAACGACTTTTGTCAAGTAGTATATCCACTTAATTAAACGCTCTTCTTCGGAACATTCCTAGGATATGACAAACAATGGGCAAAAAGCCAAAGTTGGTCATCTTGAGTTTTCTTTACTATTCACGACAATCTGGATCATCCATCATTTTTAAGTCAAAGCAAAACTTTAGACAAAATGATTTAATAAAAGATTTTGAACTGGTAAGTGAAAACACCAGTTCGCTAACTAATTCTGTCTTTCAAAAAAGAAGAAATAAATGTCTTGAAATGTATTGCATCAAATAGTGGACCGTTAGACACTGAAGTGCTGAATACCTCCTACATTTTGTGGTTGGTCAAGATGTCTAAGGGCAAATTTCTCGAAAATTCTAAGATTCTGCCACCAAAATACGAAAACTCACCGAAATACGTCGTTCAACGCCGCATTCTTTGAAGGTGAGGCGAAGGCTGGCGTTTTGTGGATTGATGGAGTTGCTTGGAAAACTGCGACAATGAGGATCCTCTAGATGATCTTTCACAAATACCAAACCTTGGAAAGGCTTTCGAGTCTCGAATAAAACCTAAACACTGAGTTCACCCACAAATGGTGAGTAAATAAAGCATTTGGTATAAAAAGGAACATGTCTTACATTTAAGAACAACTCTCGTTAGATTACAAGGTTAGCTAAAAACTTCAACAAAAAATATCTTCCTTTTCTTCCTTTTACGCAAGAGATAAACAGCAACACTAAGCCCACAAAACTTGGAAACTACTGAATATGTTTTTTGGCTTATTCACCTAAACACATAATGAATGAAGTGTAGCATATTTTGATAACAAATCACCTCGAAGTAACTATCCGCGCAGTCAACGATTGGATCTCCTACAATCCCATTGTCTCGTTGTGTGCTCAACGAATGCTAAATTCGCCCACTTTAAATCACTGAATATATTCTCTGTGAGCATTTTTCTTAGTTTCCATCGACTTCCTTATTTTTTCCACTAGAATTCGTCGTTTATAATAGAACTTGGATACTCTCTACGAAAACCAATAGAAAAGAATTCAATTTGTAACGCATTAGACCTTTTCAGATCAGAGATTACCTCAGAAATTTGATCTTCACAATGGATATATAGATTTGATACTTTACTGCACAGTTTTGTAACTGTGTTTAACTTTTATTTGCTTTCTACTATTTTTTTCATGACAGGAGATTACGTTAAGTACAACCAGGATCATGCTCGGACAAACTCGGAACCCCAGTGGGCTTCGCACTGGCGATTACCCTTTCGGGGAGTTCAGATGTTGCCCGCTGCACCCCTTGCCTTGTTTTTCTAGCAGTCAGTTTTTTGCCCTAACTGTGCTATCAGCGATGAAGCCAATGATCCGGGTAGTGCAAATCAGCATTGAACCCAGTTAAGCTGAACATTGTGATTTTAACTGCAGTTCCAGAACAAGTTTGCAAAAACAATGACAATAATCAAGTCAAACTCACAAGCAGATTGAGAATTAGTGCTATAGAAAGCAAGTGGAGGCCCATCAACCTAAACAGCACAATAAGACGATTTCACAGTTGCCAGCCTTCATATAAGCGGTTAAACGTGAAAACTCATCACATAGACGCGGTAACAAAAAGTACTAGAGGACCCGTTTATACTAACTATAGAAGTATCCAGTGTAATTGTTAAATCTTCAGCTCTTAGAAATGAGGTAGTGACATGCCTGGAAATTGGTCAGCTCGAGCCCATCGGTTAGAATGGAATGGTGCTCGACTAGCCTCAGCAAACTAGTTCGACCCCCAGTCTGATTTGTCAAAGGTCGCTCAACACCTCACAAATCGCTTTGCGAAAAAAATCCATGTAAAGAACTACGACAACGGGGTCTCCATTTTATCACTCATTAGTGGAGCAGACTGATATAAAAATTCTAGGAAACTGTAGGAACCATAATATTCGTAGCTTATGTTAAACAGCACTAGCACATAAACTTGTTGCCACACTGATTTAAAATGTATAAAGTGCACTCGGAATAGTTCAAAAATAAGAAATCTTCACTGCAGTTTAAAAGCCTAGTCCTATTTTGTAAATATGAAATAAAGACAGAGAAGCTGTTCAAAAAGCCTCCAGAGTTGAACTTCTAGCTTACATATACCAACAAAACTCGATTGAGACGGTTCCGCGAAAAGGTTGCATTACTGCGTATACAATTTGCAAAGTATACAAGTAGTCAGTATTTAGGGACAATTTTAGAACAGTGATGTGGCGATTATTATGCATTTACGCGATCCGTGAAAATTTTTGCATTTGCAAACATTCGCTCGATGTTGCAAGCCTGAGGTTTCAAGTTCTCCTGAATCTTCTTCATTTCTGGGACATGTATCGTCTGTGTCATATCTGTCATCAGTAATTGCAATAATTAATTAAGGATTCGAATGAATACAAGCAAGATTTCTATTCGATCTTGCTGCACGCCCTAGCCGTCCAGTGGCTTTGCAATAAATTACCTTTAAGTGAAATATTGAGCACAACCTCGAGATCTCTTCCACGCATTTTCACTCACTTGACGAAAATCTTCTAACTGGATCTACTGCAGCGTAAAATCCTCTTGCACCTAACTACATTTGCAAAAAGCTAATCAAATATATTATGTTTATGTATACGCTAAATTTATGAGTCATTCAAGTACGGTAAAAACAGGACATCCATTCACTGAATTCCTGGCGTTTCCCGGACAGTACATTTGTCACCCCGGTTCATGTTACAGTGTTATTCGTCACCAAACTGTAACGCCACATAGCATCGCTGATACTTGACAAAAAAGGTTTTGCAAACCCAAAATATATGGAATATACCAATGAAAAATCAAAACAATGTAGTCCACAGTTGAAATCCATTTTTCAGTTTCACTCCGTTCAGTGTGGACTAGAAATGTGAAAACCAATCCTGTTCAAGCCTCGACTAAGGACCAAAATTTTTCTGTAGACATATCGCCATTTTTGGCTCCTTAAAGGATAAGAGAAAGCTAGTGGTGTAATTTTAATGTATTTAGAACAATTGAATTACAAAAGAATGATGGAAAGGTGCGGCTCATTAAAAAGAATGATAATGATCTGCGTTGGCTACGGATGGTTCGGCCAGATATGAATGTCTAGTAGGGTCGGATGCTTTGGACAGGAATCTTCTAAGCATTATTACTCATTTGTTGCTTTTATCTGCGAGTTATTTAATATCAGAGGCTTCGACTGTGAGCATTGCGCCTGCTGCGCCACTGAACAACGGAAACGATAACAGTAAAGCTCATATATGGGTCACATATAGTTGAAAATAGCCTACCTTGAAAATTTTCAAAGAGACCTACCTAAACTCACCCTAGACTTCATTAATTAAAACAGAAATGATTAGACGTGAATATCTTCGTACGAAATTGCTTATTTTCCACCAACGCTAAATGCAAGCTTTCCAATGCCCATAAATTTTCCCTTCGCGTTTCGATCTCAAAGAGCTTATATCTTTAAGAGAAAAACGACAGACTAACCCGAATTTGTCAGAAAAAAAACATGATAGTGATTTGAATGCATTGTAAATAGTGAGGCCGCTACGATTTCATGACTTATTTTTACACTTATTCCATCTATTAGTTGAGTTTCTAATGAAAATTTTAGAACATCTAAAAACTATGTATGTCTGCATATATATATGTGCATTAGTACCACCTGTATCAGCAGCCGCCCCGTTTATTGCAGAGTGACTCGAGCGGACACCAGTGAACTTCCATTTCTAACCTTCGTGTGAAAGGCAGGCCGGGAGGTACTGCTCGCTCTAGCAACGCCTTGACTATCATATCCTTCTAATCAGGTTTTCGTGAAAAACTTTGACCCTAAAATCGGCGGTCTGGATGCAGTTTTAATATACCGAGTAATGCAGTCACTAACGGCTCCACGGCTCTTGTTCATCGGCTGTCGTTCATACGCCTTGTGGGTACGGTGCATCTTATCTTCGGCAACTTGCGTATTGAAGTATTGAACTGTTTATTTGATTTTTGAATCGTCAGCGTAGATCGGAGCTTCGGATCTCTTTCACCATTTTCGTGATACGAGATGCTGTTCGCATTGTTCCTTCGACTGCGCGTTCTACAAGGCTGAGTGATCTTTCAACCTGCTTATATTGCGACCAGGCTTCTGACACATACGCTAACCCGTTAAGAATCATATATTCGGAAATACAGGCATGAATTGGGTGTTTTGTTTCCTTCACAAATCATCGGTGCTGAAAGCATCCCAATCCGTCGCTTCCTCCTTCACAACTCTGGACCTTATTCTTCCATCGTGTTAATTTCCAGACCTAGGCAGACCTGTCTGGATCAATCGGGAACATTCGCTTCTTTGAGAGAGAAGGTGTATACGTAACCAATCCTTTAGCCATTAACATCGTTTTGTGATACCTAGCTGGAAATCAGTCTTTCCACGAAAGTTATCAATGTCGGTAAACACTCATTCCGCTTGGTTAATGCTTGGTGTTGTAAGAACGACGTCACCAGCAAAGCGAACTGGTGTAATTCCCGACCATCGTTTTTCACTCTCAGTGTTCGCATGATGTTCTCTAGGGTGGGAGTAGATAATTTTGTACAGTCCTCTAAGAACCTTTATATACCGAGTAGGCGCGCCATAGCTGGTCAGCTATCAAAAATAAAGAAAGGACTTGTACTATCTTCAATGTGTTAAGAAAGGTTCAAGCATAGAGTTAGGTGAGAGCGCTTTCATTCATATAAGAATGTAGAATAACTGTTCGCCGCCCTGCAATAAAGCCCTAATCATGTGCATACGTTTCTTGTTCGATGTGAAAATTAGTAAACCGCAAAAATCGTCACAATTTCCGTCGGAGTCGTCAAAGCACGGTATCGATGAAGCACAGTTTGAGTGAATGCGGAGAAGGAACGCTTCCTGTATACCAACAGTTATTAACGTCATTACAACTGCCGCGTTATTTGTTTTTTCACCATCCGTTTAACAAACCAGAGTATTCCACTAAATCTTATTGAAAGACGACAAGTTACAAAATTTATTGTACTAGTTTCTTTCCTTTCAAATGCCACAACTAATCCATAGGCGATATTAATCATGGAAAAACATCTTAAAATAGGAAAAAATGTATTTGTAGAATAAAGAATGAATAAACTTCCTGGGCAACTCTGAAACGAAGGAGGCGAAAATGTCGACCGCCGGGAGATACAGTGGTAGATAAGCGATGCGATCTCGACATAAACATTAAACGGATTCATTGGAGCGAGCAGTTGGAGTCAAATCCAGACAAAATTACCAACGATTTCTCTCGTTCATACTAAAAGTGATTAATTTGACAGTGCCGTATCGTAGCGTTGAAAAAAAGTGCAACGAAACTATGGGGTGAATATGTACATATTTAGACATAGAATTTCATCTCTCAACCTTCTTTTTTGTTGAACTTTTGGGCGATGTCACTAAGACTGATATGGATTCCAAAAGTCCAGAGATTAGCCACAGAAAAGAATGAGTTATTATTACACGAAAGATGCCTCCTTTTTCAAATCGGTTTTCTGACCTAGGTGGGTTTCAGTCATCATCCTACGTTAACAACGCACAGGTGGTCCCACACGCGGAAACACAGTAAATCGCTTTTGAACAAATTAGAGCTTATTTATATGTTAGATAATCGTTTATATCATAGATATTTTACCAAATTATACGGGCACAGTTAAGCACAATACTTCCAGGCTCTGAGAAAGGCGAACTCTCCGAAAAGTCAGCCAATAAAACACATTAATAGCAACAATGACAGCATACACCAACCTCGCGTTAGTTAAACAAGAACAGTTCGTGGGAACATAACCAGAGATATCGATTATCTATGCCAACTTTTATAGAAAGCCAGTAGAAAAGGTTTCGAGTAATTGAGTAAGAACAGCACCAGGACAGACAACCCAAATTCATTCTTAGCAATTATGACAAGAAATGAAGGCACTTTGGACTCGCCACTTAGCAATATCACGACCTCCATTGATATGATCTGGGCTCATAACTTCCATTTTTAAAACACGATGAAAATAAAGATTTGTTTTGCCTGCGAAATGTTGGCTGAGAATCTAAATGGGAGTTGGATCTTGGAGACAAAAACAGCAAGCTCTAAACATTACATTAGCTAATAGCTTTCACTTGGCGATTCTTTCTAAAAAGCCATTCAAGCTCAATTTTTCCCAAGTGAATAACAAGAGACGGTTTCTCCGATTTATCGTCATTTCTTCAATTCTGAGATGAAATTTAACGATTCCTTCCTACAAGAGCTGACTATCACAACTGCTGTACGGATCCCAGCACTTCCAGCACTCGACGCGTTCTCCTGACATCAATCACACATAAAGACCTTTCAACTTTTCAACTATGGGTCTGGCTGCTGCTTGAGAATTTTTCTTTCCTCGTAAATGTCTGTTATGTGTGGTAAAGCCGACTCCCTTTGGAGTCATGAGAGAGCTGAGATGGACCGTTTACATCTTCAATGGAGCGAAAAA